CGAGACTGGAGGCAGATTTATGAGACGGGCCCTGCACATGTGGAGGGCTGCCAGGCTGCTTAGGAGGCGAAAACTTGTGCTTTAGGGCTGGTTTCTCGGGCAGCCACCAAATACACTCACCAGTGGCAGAGCGGGAAGAAGGTGTTGACAGAGGCCCCCAGAGCTGAGCAGCCTGGCTGGAGGCCACAAGTCATTGGTGGCAGCATCGGAAGCCCGAGGGTCCTAAGATCTGGTGCCATATTCTCCTTCCAGGTTCTGCTGCCTCCCTGGTGACTCTGTATGAGAGTATGTGTGTGTGTATTTCATGCCTGGCCTCTCTTTCCCCATCACTCCAGCCCCCGGGGACAGGAGAGTAACGCCCCCTTATTGGTGAGTTGGAAGAATGATCCGGGCCCTCTTGGCTCACGGGGAGAACTAAGCCTGCTGCCCCGCAGGCAAGGTCTGCCTGAGGCCAGTACTGTCAGCGGAGTCCCGGGGAGGGGTGGTGGCGGGGTGTCTGTCTACCTAATTTTGGCATCCAGTTAGTGGGCTGTCTTGCTTTTTGCATGAAGCTACATTCTCCAACTTGGTCTTTATTGAAGGAGATTAGGCACCCAGGTGCCAACTTTGGTCTTCTTTCTCATTTCCATGAAAACTTGGGTAGGGAAAAAGAGGGCTATTTACTGGTTTCTTCCCCCCCCCCCCCCCCCCCCCCCCAAGCCTCCAAATCACAATGGGCTCCAGCCACCAGCCATTTCCGAAGGCAGGACACCAGTTCGGCTGCCATTGAAGAGTAGCCCCCGCCAGCTTCTCGGGGTAACAACACGGGAGCACAAGGCTGAATGGCCCATTCTTCCCTCCAGTGGCCGCTGCAAGGCTGGGGGGATGCGGGAGATGGATGCAGGAGATGGGCATCTCCCCTGCGGGGGGCCGAGTGGAGGGGGCAGCAGACCCTGCTCGAGCCTCAGCTGCCTGAATCAGGAGGGAGTTCTCTCTTCCAGGCTGTCACTCTAGTACTTACTGCGAGAGCCTAGCTCCCTCAGAAATAAAATGCCACTCTGAATTTAAATGATCTGTCCTTCTGGGAAATTCTTTGGAGCGACAGGACTGTTCAAACATGAAAAGTAAAAGGGAAACAATGCGATAGTTCAGAAATCACTGTTTTCGGGGGGCTGCAGAACTCAAATAGCCCGCGGACAATTCCTGGGAGAAAGGGCCTTATTTTGATCTGCCAAGCGAGAGGAATATTGTTTGACAAAGTTTCTGCTTGACGTGAAGGGAAACCTTACGGGAGCGATTTTTGCAAGGACCAGGCCTCAGTGAGGCGGTGCATGAAGCAGAAGTAATCGTTTTACGTGTGAAACTCCGTGGGCAGAGCAGAGATGGGAAAATACGGGATAATTGGAACTGGCCTAAGCGGGGAGCCAGGTAGAGGGTGGCGGGAGCTGGTGGTTTCTTTCTGGTTTCTGGTCCCGGGCGCGTCTGGTGTGGCGTCGACCACGTTCTTCACCAATGATGCGCATCACTAGGGGGCGCTAGAACCCTTCCCGAAAGTGCCTCGGAAGCCGCAATTACCTGGAGGGATGTCAGAGGATGAGCCCCTGGCCTCAAGTCCTCCTTGCCCCGGACCCTCATTGGGATTTCAGGAGGAGGAAGTGTCCCAGAGGCCCTGCCCACTGTTCTGCCAGGCGTTAGCATGGCTTTTCATTCCCGCAGGAGCCAGAACCCTGGAGATGGAGAGCAAGGGAAGAGGACAGCCCCATGATGGAGGCCGACCTTGGAAAGATGCTCTTCCCTTTGCCGCCTCCCACGTGCCACTTCCCTCAGTGTTAGGCCAGCCCTGACCATTTCTCCCCTTCTGTGTCATCCCTGCATCTTCTCTCTGTTCCTCAGTGGACGTGCCAATCTTGACCCTGGAGCATAAACCCCAGGCCTGCTCTATTTTTTATTTTTTCTCTACAGGGTCCAACCTGGAAATAATGTCATAGCTGAACTGAGATTTTTAAATGTGCTTATTTATAACCTTTTGTAAGTAAGCTGGGGACTAGGGACAATAGCTTCCTGTGATGTCCTGGGTAATTATTTAAAGTCCATCTGGTCTACCTACCAAGGGAGTCATATGGTTTTCCTCCTAACCCTTAGAAAGGCACGCGGTTAGACAAGCTGAGCAGTTGCAGCCCAGACACGGGGGGACTTCTGGTGAGTGAAGAGCGGGGGGGGGGGGGGGGGGGGGGGGGGGGGGGGGGGGGGGGGAGAGAGAGAGAGAGAGAGAGAAGGGCATCATGGGTGTAGAGACAGGAGCCCAGGGGCTGATTTTTGTAGAATGTTCTGTAGGACAGGTAGACTAGAATCTCCCTATTATTAATTTTGGAGGACAAATTTGGATAAGGCAGTTTCTTCACTACATGGTCGTTAATCTCTCGTGTGATAAGAACCCCAGGTCGAGGAAAGCCTTTGGTCTGCTTCCCCACAGACTGCCACTGAGCCGTTCCATTTACAGCCTTTCAGTCACGTCAAAAACTTGTCATTTTAACTCCTTGGGTATTTATGCTCCCCTCACACCCCACTGATAAAGTTAACTTGTGAAAATTCTAAAGAATTCATGTTGACCCAGTGGACCACTTGTACATCCTGTCGGTTCTGTGCAGTGAGGTATGCCCTACAGAAACGACCATTGCGGGTGGAATTCCGGAAATCTCTGCACACATGTTAAGGAAGGTGATTTCTCCTCCTAAGTGTGGGCTGAATGCCTGTGGCCAGGGCCCAGCTCACAATTCACCCTCTAACCAGGAAGACTGCACCCGAGCCACTGTCTTGCCCTAGAAGTTGCGATTTATGCGTCTAATTTTAATTTTCCTCAGCTTAGGTCCCAGAAGGATTTATTAAATTTGCTTTGTGGAACCTATTAACTCTAAACTGAATAATGATGTTGCTCGAGGTTTAGAATCAGTTTACAGTAAATTTTCTACACACAGGACTCTAGGCATCCTATATTCCTCCACGACAGAATTTTAAGTCAGTTCGTAAATGAAAAGGTTTACTCAATTTACCTAAAAGCTATTAGTAATTAACTGACATCAAGAGACCATTGCTTGCAGAGGTGGTGAATAGCAAAGGAGAACTCGGGCAAGAGAGGGTATTCATTCTCTGGCTTAAATTGGATGGTAGAAAACTCAGATGGCTTCTCAGTACCTCTTTGGCTTAACTCTGTGGTTAAAATGGGTAATAATGATTTATAACTAATTTTTATTTTTTCTTTGACTTGGTAGGATGACCAAAGGCAGACGAAATCTAGATAAATAGCCCAACACACTCAAGTATGGAAATCGATGGTCTTTGTTTGAGAAGTCTTTTTAGAAATTATGAAGTCATTGACGTTGCAAGGCAGGGCTTCTTATCTAAGATGAGGGGGGTTGAGGAACTGGAAATATTGGCAGGCAGAGGGGAACTCGACACACATACCCGTTGGTGGGTCTGGGGCATCTTCATAGGTAGTGTTATCAAGAGACTATATGAAAGAGTGGAGGGGACTCGCTGACAGGAAATCTCTGCTCACCTTGGCTTGAGCCACTTCTGTGAACTTGGACAACTCACTCAAACTTCTCTAAGTCCCTTCTGGCTCCAACTTTTAGAATTTGATGTGTGTCATGGACCAGGGGCTGGAACCAGCTCACTCCTCTGAAGCAAAGTGGGGTAGATCTGGGTATCTGTGGAAGGTGTAAGACTGGCTATGTTGCCCTTCAAGGTTTTCCAGGGGTGGGCTCGCTCCACCCTGCAGGAGCTCAAATGGCCCCCTAGGTGGGCCGGGGCAGTTCTTGGTCCGGGGGACCCCCCCCCCCCCCCTGCCCCGTACTCTAAGTGAGCTGTTGCGAGCCCTGCCCCAGTGGTTTGACCACACACAGAGCATGATGTGGCTCAGTGCCTTCCCGGCTTCCTCTTTTGGATTCCTCCATTTCAGAAGCCCCTCAGACAGCTGATTTGCTGTTCAGCAGGTGAGAGAAACAGCTTTATTTGGGAGCAGGCGAGGATAAAAGGAGAAAGAAACGATGGTGAGGAGAGCCGTGGGCATGGTTAGGAGCGCATCAAAGGCGGAATTTTCTCCTCATCTTTTAAAGGGCTTGGGGGACTGCTGTCAGATTCTGAGGTGTTTAGAGTCAGGTGTGGTACTCACGTTCAGGTCCAGCCTTTGAAACCACATGCTATTAGGTCACGTGTGACGAATGTCAACAGAGGAACGCAAATCTCACAGGCTGTGGCAGCTGTACATCCCTCGCCCAGAAAATTCTTTCCTAAGATACAATTCATACCTATGGTGTTTTTCTTTGCATTTGTTCAGAATCACTTTTAAGGAAAGCAGTGGAGTAAATAAAAGGAGGAATTCACATGTGTTTTTCTGGATTTCCCCGGTTTGAGCAGGCGAAAGTCTGATTCGAGGAGAGAAAAATTAGACCAGTTTGCCAAGTGGAGTGACCTGCGTCTTGTTGGATCAACATGTTCTCAAGCTGAGGTTGTCACTACAGAGTACGTTGCTGAAGCTTGCCTTTTCAGACTAAAATCTAAGGCCTGCTAGCCTGGAATTGCTGACATAAGAATCTCCTAATCAGCCGGTCTGTATGTAGATTTAGGCATCTCCAGGAGGCTGGAAGCCTTTCAGGCCCAACCTGATTATTCTAATCAAGTGTTTTAATTAAGCAGTTATTGCCAGGATCACAGGAACAAGGTCTGCTCTTGAGTAGTAATGGGCAGTGTTTTTTTTTCTTTATTCTTCTTTACAGAGATAATGTTTGGCTTTGTGGGGGCGTATTTAATGTCTTTCTAAAGTAGGACATGGGAGAGTCCCCGTGAAGGGCACACTGCTGAGCTGGCAGTCTGGCCAGAGGACACAACAATAAAAAACAATAAAATAAAATAAAAGATATTACCAACTGGGTTGCAGGTGAATTATCCATTTGCATCTTTCACCCTAAAACACAAAAGCAATACTGGCTAGCCCAAGATTTAAAAAAATATATAAACACACACACATTGGGTTGGCTTTTATTGGAATGCCTAGATGCAATCTATAGTCAACAAGTTATGGAAAATTCAGGTCACATATAAAGATAAGAAGGCAAATGAAAAGAACAATACAAATCAGACAAAATTTACATCTCAAAATATCATGAAAGCATTTTGACTGGCTTTGCCTAAAATACTTTGAATATCAATTTCTTTTTTGTAAGCTAATTCTTTTCATGATACTGTCCCCCCCCACCCCCAACTCTTAGAAAAAGGTCTCTTGTTTACATATTCCCCAAGGTCACTATTTCTTGTAAAAGCATGTCCAGATCACAAGTCTTTTTAGAAAGAAATAGGCTCATTATACCTACTAACAAGACACTAATTGGGTTGATTTGACTTCATCTAAGATAAGCACCAGGAGATACTCCAAATTTGTTAGTTATCGGTGCCAGTATAAAGGGCCAGTCCATGTCGAGAAGGGGATAAGGTTATGATTTCACTTCTGTGATGTGGTACAAGCTTTTCATGGTCAATACATCAGAAACATTTCTGAGAATTCAGACTCAGAGCCTATTTCAACCAAAAGTACTTACAGCATGCTCAGCACAGTCCTGCAGAAGTTCCATCGAACAGAACTGCGGACACCTAAGTTAACAGTTAAAAAATAAAATGTAAAACAGAGCCATGTTTATGTGGTTTGAAATCTCATAGTTTTCTAAATTTGGGCTTCGTAATACTTGCCAAAGGATTCCAGGATAAAAAATATTAATGCTAATCTGTGCTTTCATTCTAATAAAATATCAGCATTCATTAGAAGATTAATTACTTCGGTATGTTCTACCAAATACACAAAGACAGTAATAGCACTGATACTGTAAATTCAGTAGCTATTTTGAAACTTTCCCAGCCAATCTGTTTAATAAACACGCCTACTGTGCAATTTAGAGTATGTGATACATACAAAGCGGTTAGAAAATTATTTTCAATACATCACTTGAACCTTTATATTTACGACATGTTCACTTGCTATATTTTATCACCATTATACAGAGAGGAAAACAGTGTGTACTATAGCTCAATGAACTGAGAAATATTTTCTAAAAATATTTTTGTGGCTGAATTTAGCGCTCACGAAAGAGACCTGCAGGAGCGGCTGAGCCGACGCGGAAGCGCGGATGACGGCTGTGCTCTGGCCGCGCGCACGGTGCGGGAGGCACGGCTGCCAGGTCACTTCCAGCTGGATCTGCCACCCACCCCGCTTCCCCGAGACAGAGCAGAGCCTGCCATTCGAATCAGCTCCCGGGATGGTTGTGGCGTGTGGGCTCACATTACAGGAGCTTTTGTCTCCCTTTTGGTCACCCGAGGGTCCAAACCCAAGACCAGCAGAGCGACCCTGAGCGTCTCCATTTGGCTCTCTCGCCACTGCTCGGTTTCTGCTATCTTTCCTAGATTTTAAGACACGTGTTTGTGGTCATGACTTCATCAGATTGTTTCCTTCTCACAAGTGTTTCCCGGGCATCTGATGTGGGCTCTCGCCTCCGTCATGAAATAAAGCCTCAAGGACCGGTAACAGTAAAAATCCTGTGGTTAATTATATCAGCCCCCCATCGACTCTGAGGGCCCAGAGGGACACAGAACCCCTCCTGCCCTTTTGTTGTTGTTGTTGTTCATATCTTCCGTTACATTCCACCAGCCTTAGTTTTCCACTGTGCCTCTTAGTCAATAATGGTTGAGGACACTAGCTTGATGAAAAGAGAAGGAAGAGAAAAGAGCAGTTCTCTGACAAGCCACCCACCTAGGACCGCACCGTCCTATCCATCTAGTGATAGAAAGCTGCACGTTTTTTCAACCTAATACAAAAATATTAACACTTCTGGACATTATAGGCATAAGTCGTTATATCTCTACAATATAATAATTTATACTGTACAGCTATAACAGATAAAAGGTGCAATCCTTTTAAAAAAAATCACACGGTTCACATGTTTTTATCATTTTATTTTTAAGTATAAACTTTTTAAACACTTTACATAAATTAACTCCTCTGAGACTAATATTTGATGTACAGTAAATTGTAATTCATATAAAAATCCATAAACAACTTGTCTCACATAATTTACAAAAAAACCAGGGTTTCCTTTGCTTATTGGTGACAAGGATTCTACTTGCCAGTTTTTTCCCCAAGGCAAACCACGTTAGCACTGTAAAGTCCGTTAGGAAATCCCCGCGGTGGCAGAAGTCACTCGTGCCAATGTTCTTTAACAAAGCAGCACAAGGAGAGTGGCTGGGTTGTCTAGAAACAGTAATTTTGCCCCACCTTTTAAAATTAACAGAGATATAGCTCACATCCTATGCAGACTACTTCTTGTAAGCAAAGGTCGACAATTCGGGAATTTTGGAAACACTGTATGCCTTTTTACCTTAGTTAAACACAGTGCCTCAAAGGGACACGCGGCCTAGAGGAAAACGGGTAGGCCTTTTTTTCCTTTATTTATTTTTCCTTTTAATACTTCCAGTCTCACTGAGTGCAGCGATACGCATATGTAAACATATTCTTTAAAGCCGATCACCTTTAAGGTCATTCAGAAAAAAGTTTTCTGTTTTTGTGGATTTTGTTTTAAGAGCAGTTTCATTCTCCTGGAAGGCTCTTCTGTGCCGGAGAGTCCCATTCGGATTGTGCTACAGAACACTGATCTGAGCAGAGGTGGGTGGGTTCGGCTCCGCAGCGCCCCGGCTGGGGCTGGCTCCAGCGCAGGGGGCCGCCCGCGGGGCCCGGGGGGTTACCTCTTGCCGATCTCGCTTTGTCGGAGGAACTGGATGTTGTTGGCGCTGTCGGCCAGCTCGGGGTACTGCTCCACCGAGAGTACGTAATACCCGTCGTAGCCCTGCACCTTGCCGGCGCTCAGCAGCTGTCGCTTCTCGCCCTCCGTCCAGAGGCGCGCGCCCTCCTCGCCGTCGCGCACGCGCTGCTGCTCGCGCGCCCAGGCCCGGGCGAGCGCGCGCTGCCGCGCCTGCTCCAGGATGCGCGCCTTCTCCTCGTCCAGGGTCATGCCGTAGCGCACGTGCAGCGCCAGCGCGCCAAACTGCATCTCCACGTCGGCGAACCTGCGAGTCCTCCCGTTGACCACCGTCGTGGACTGCGACACGGTCACGTTGATGCCGTTCTCCAGGGCCTTGCGGCCGCTGGTCAGGCGCAGCGTGCCCAGGTCGCTCTCGGGCGTGGTGGTCTTGATGAAGTAGTGCGTGTCCTTGCCCTCGATGGTGAAGTGCAGGTTCTCCAGGTAGAAGGCGTTGTTGAGCACGGCCGCCACCTTGATGCAGTCCTCGTTGGCGATGTTGAGCACGTTGGTCTGCACGCGGCCCTGGCTGACGGCCAGCATGACGCCCTTGCCGATCAGCGACTTGACGGTGGCGAACCACAGCCACGACTGCGCGCCGCCGCCCTTGCGCCGGCTCACCTGCACCTCTGCCATCTTCCCCAGGGACAGGAAGGCCTTGGCCTGCCTCGCCACTTGCTGCTGAACGCCGAAAATGGGCTGAAAAGCGAACACAGAACAGGGGGCCGGTTTAGAGAACAGCTGTAGGTCTTGGTTGCCGGGGAGCCAGGCTTCCTGGCAGCGCTCCCTCTCCTGACCAAAAAACGGGGTGTTGGGGGGAGAGCGCCACGGCATTTATTAAAACCTCAAGGGGTTCTTTAGAGATGAAAAGGCTTAGAAAAGACGCTGGGGGGAGGAATGAACTCAAGATCCCCTCCCCCCAAGTTGATCCAAATGTGTTTTGAAACGTCAAAAGAGGTAACTCCTTCGTGGATTAGTTAAGAGCTCTTTAGTTTCTAACGTGGGCAAACATTCACGTGTTTAGCTTTTCTCTTTCAATTTCTACCTGTCCTTTTCCCAGCCCTGCCCTGTTTGGGGAGCCCAGCTTATCAGAACCTCCATCCCAGCAGCTTTCTCCATGGGAGGCCCAGGAGGAAGCATCAAACGCAGGGAAGGATTTGCAAGCTGGGGGTGCTCGGGGCCGGATCAGCGTGTCCCACGGTATGTGCTTTGAAATGTGTGCGGTTTAATTTAGGTAAACTCTGTACCCTCTCCGGGTAAACACAGTTTTCAACTGAATTTTGCCAGTGTAACTGCAGGGCCGAAATGTACAAGGATGAACGCACAGCCCGACAGCTGGAGATCAGTATTTATTACTTTAGGAAAACATTTATTTTTCCGAGACTTAGGGACAGTGGACCATCTATACTGGCAAATGTTTTAAATTGGGGGCATCTTAACTCAGCCATTTCTTATACTACCAGATGTTTGTCTGGCCAGTGTTTCGCAAATGGAAACATCTGTTTCTTTTGCGGCAGTGAAAGAAACATTTGTTTTTCTGCACTTGGGGCAGCCTCAGTGTCTTTGCCAGCGATTCCCTAGGCTGTCCTCATGGTGCATGTCTCTTGATGGAGAACCTGAACCATATTGAAAAGACTGCCTAGGAAAAAAGCTGGCAAGTCCATTTGTATAGTCAGACTTAAGTGTTTTCAGGCATGTTGGAAAGTCACACACAATTAGGACATGCTTGTTCAAATGCTTTAGGAAACTCCAGTATGTCTTTATGGTACTTTATCATGGTAGATATAGTTGCAATTAGAAATGTTAAAATGGCTCTCAGACCCTGGAAACTTGATGGGCTTTGCTTTTTAAATGTAAAGGTGACATCTGAAAAAAGGAATTGCTTTTATGTTAAGAATGAAACGTGTACCAGAAAACAGAGGTATTGGCACTGTGTACGCTCTGTGTGTGTTTTAGCCATGCTTGCCTTTTCTCTTTGTATTCATGGAAATTAAAGGAAATTGCTCAAGGTGGGGGGGAATTAATCTTTCTAAGAAACTCTGCACTCTCTTCTTATCATTATGGGGTAACCCAATTTCTTGATCTTTAATTATTCTTGCTTTAAGCTAGAAATTCTGGTGTTTTGTTGTGCATTCCTTTCTGATCTCTGACTGGTGGGACTTAAAAGTGCCATTTTCTGAAATGGCAGCTTTGCCTTTGCAATTTTCCATTCTTTTATTTCTCAGAATAGTTATAGGCTTCCTGATCTGTTATTTTCAGGAAGACTCCATAAACACCTAATTGTAGGTGGAGCCTTACCAGAGGACATTTTATTTTTAGTTTTAGTCTTTTCCCATGAAACACCGCTAATATTTTCAAAAAGTTGAACTTTGTGGCATTGTTTGTGGGCTGATAATTTGTAATAGGAATCCCCTGCCCTCCTGTTTATTGTGTCTTTGCCTTCAGGTCCCAAGGGCCATAAATGTGTTTCATGGGGTTCTCTGTAGAAACCGTGCACTTAAAAATGAGCTTCTGCATTTTATTACCTTTTGATAATGTCTTTCCATGTTTTTATTAGCATCACTAAAAACAGATTTAAGTCTGTTTAACAGGCCCCTGGTTTGCTGAATAGAAATGCAGAGGGAAGGTTGTTTTTCTTCCCCAAACGAGTAAAAAAATTAAAAACTGTCTTTGGTACAGTTTTCACAAAGGTAGTTGGATTAAATACGGGCAAATAAGACACAAGTAAGCCATTTATCACCTTTTCATAGTTTTGCTTTTTGTTTCTTACCGGTATATCATCCCACTGCTGACTCTTCACAAGTTCATAAGAAGGCTCTGTTAAATCAAATTTGGGAACAGGGAATCCAGGAATAGCATTGTGCAGATGGAAGCCAAATGTCACCAGCCAGCTGTTAACATCTAGGAGAAGAATGTTCAAAATGAAAGATGTTAGAGTTATACAGTGCTTTCATAAATTTAAATTCTCACCTTAAAGAAAACCCCAAACTCACAAATAATAACCTCAAAAAGAGCACACGTTTGCCTTCATCCTACAGTTCAAAACCTACTCTCTCATTTTAGACATGAAGACAATAACCTCAACTGCAGAACTATGGCAAAGGCTACAGAAAATGCAGAGTAACAGATACTCAGACAGACCAATAAACTGTCATACGTGCTAAGTTGCATCCTGTGCTAGTCACAGGGGCGAGACACAGTAATAATGCAAAGCAACATGAAAGAGACATAGTGGTTGAAAACAAATGAAATTTGTTTTGTAGTTAGTAAAGGCTGGTCTTAAATAGAAGTTGTGTGTTGTTAGCTTTCAAAAGCGATTGCCCAAGGATATGCAGAGTTCCACAACTCATTTTCTATTAATAAAAACCCCAAATTGAGAGTATTAAAATCAACAGTTGATTCTTAATCAAAGATGAATGCTCAAAGCTGGCAAAACTGGCCAAGGGCACAGAAGTTCTGATTACCATCAGTTATGCCTTCAAAGGCTCACTGTGCACAGGTGGAGACAAACTTTTTGGGGAGAGAACCTGGAAACCTTTAAAATGGTATTTTAAAATATTGCCACGTGACTCCAAAAGCCATTAAGCTCAGAATAAGGCTTTTATTCTATTCGGGAGGTTATAATGTTACAGAACTACTCAGCAAGCTTGCAGCTTTATGAGTACGGTTGGGTGTAGATGATTTTATATATTAAGCACATTGCTGGAAAATTCGAAATTGCATTTCACCTAATATATTTTATGCCATTCCATCTCTCTTTTGATGTTTTTCAGAAAATGCTGCTATGGCATTCCCTGCAGTCCACGTTGCTAGGAGAGGATGAATTCAGGAGCCTTTCCGTCAGCCCCCGTCAACACCTCTTAAATAACCAGTGGTACACTGCTTGTCAGAATGATGGAAAGCCACTTGTTTCCTATTTCCGTCTCTAGGGCGCAAACTCTCACCTCATCACCAGACTGGCAGGTCCTTTGTCCAAACATCATAGGGCTATAAAACCAGTGGTAGTCTTCCTAAAAAATGGATGGGTGGTGGTGGTGGTGGTAGTGGTGAGAGATAAACCTCAAGTTCATCATGTAGGAGGGAAAATGATCCATTGTGTGTGTGTGTGTGTGTGTGTGTATAAGATTACAGAAATAATCTCCAAAAAATGTTTTGGAGAAAATTATTTCTCCTGAATGGAAGAGTATTGGGGTCAAAGGTTGTCCCCCTATGAACAATGTCTGCGTAACAGTCAAAATCAGAGGGTCTTAAGTATTGAAAAGCATGGCCTAAATAATGGGACTGGAATGCAGATGTGTGCTGGAAAACCCTGAAGGAGAATACCATAAGGGTGTTGCTGAATCAGGATGCCGAAAGAAGGGACTTACAGCTGGTTCACATGGAAGAGAGATAAGAAAAGCTTCAGGCAGTCTGGAAAAGCAGGAGGCAGATGTGAAATGAACAGGGGGCAGCATTTTGAGAGCGGTAGCAAGAACTGAGAAAATAGACATCTCGGTATGACTCAAATATCAAGCACGAAAAGAGACAGCTTGAAGGAATGTCTAATGCAAGCCAAAACAAAACAAACCCAAACCAAACTAAAATCAAAAAGAGAAAACAGGAAAGAACGTTCCTCCAGGAAACATAAATGTGGCGGAGAGGTTAATGTAGTCGTGTAATTCAGGAATGGAAGGTGGAAACAGGAAGATTCAGAATTCTTGGGGTAGAGGATGAGGGAAGAAGTCAGCTCACTAAAGGGAACTAGGGTAGTGCTTGCAAGGACCTTGTCTGTCTCACATCCTGATGGTTCTGTGGTGGCAGAAGTGGGATCCAATGTTTTAGATTGGATCATGCAGTAAACTTGGAAAGATGTTAAATCTCTATCCTGAAAATTACCCCATATTGGCAGAAAAATTAGTGAGTCTATTAGTAGTGTCGCTGTGCAACTGATGGGAGAAATTGTTCCAGTATTGTCCTGAGGTGAGAGTTGTGAAGACAGAGTTAAACAAACACCTCCCAGGGATGAGACGGGGGGAGGGGGGTGGGTCACGCCGTGTTGTGTTTCACGTTGATTCCCCCATTAGAACTTTACACATGTATAAAAGAGAAAAAGAACATCACACATTTGTAAAGTCGTTACTATTTAAAGTAGAGTTGTGTATATTATTGTATTTTATACCACAAGGTAGGCATTGTTATCCCCATTTTATAGTTAAGAAACAGACTCAAAAAAACTCTGTGCCTTGTCTATAAAGCCATGCAACTTGTAGGAAAGGAGTTGGGATTAGAACTCCAACTTAGGGACTCCAGGCTCATTATGTTTTCTGTCACCCCTGTGTCACTTCCCTTCCTTAAGTGTCTGGATTCTGTATCATTTCAGAAATTGTGGCCTTGGGCACTGGCAGGCAGAGTAGGAACTAACAAACTATGTCTCAGTTTCCCTTTGTGGTTTCTCTATGGTTCCGTAGAGAAATAAATGCATTTAAAAGGTTAGGCATTTGATTTTGTGTGAGTAAAGTGTAAAGGTGAAGAAAGCCACTCCAGTTCTTTTGTGTATTAATGTAATGAATAAAGTAATTCAGGACTTGGGAAGGCAAAAAAAAAAAAAAAAAAAATCATGCTTACCTGAGATGTAGTCTTTCACATCATGGATTTTGCTTGCAGGGTTGTTATTCCTAAACATATACAGGTTAAAAGGAGCTGGGTCCTTCCCAATTCTTTTCCAGATTTCTATGTCAGGCGTTGTCCATCGTCCTGCCAAAATGTCATAATCTCTTTCTCCAAAGTGGATTAATTTTGTGAGTGGGTCATACAAACCACCATGAAATCCAATTACCAGCTGAAAGTCAATATTGGAGTCAAAATAGATTTCACCATACGCCGTGTACTGAATCTGCTTTAGCATAAGCCCATTGCTACTGAAAACAGCCAGTGGTGTCCCTGTGTTATCTGAGGCAATGTAGAATTCATCCCCACTGCTGATTTCCATGGCAAAAAGGTGTCCTTGGAGATCATAATAGAGGGAGGTAATTTCTGAACTTGAATGGTTGTAAACATGAGTAATCCTAGTGGGATAAGTTAGGTCAGCATAAAAAAACTGCAGGTGTTGTCCCAGACTGGTTTTACTAGAAACTCTCCTTCCCAGGCCATCATAACGGTAGATCACTGTCCAGCCGCTGCCTTTACTGTAAACTCGAGTTAGAAGCCCCTTGGAGCTATACTCGAAGATCTCTGTGCCTCTTTGACGCAGGAAACCATCTTCATCCAACCGATACTGAACATCACCTAGTCGAGTGATTCTGTCTCGCAGGTCATAGCGAAGAGGTGTCAAACGTGCACTGTTACTGGGGTTCAGTAAATGGAGGTTTCCATTCAGATCATAGTTGTAACGCCACATGATCTTTTCATTTAGATAAACTGTTTGGAGCTGTCCATCAACATCGTATTCATAAGCATATTTGGTAGTGTTGGCAAAGGGCCCTATTTTAATCTCTCTCTTGGTTACCCGACCCATGTTATCATATTGAATTGTAATCCAGTACATGAGTGACCTGAATATCTCATATTGAATTTCCTTGATGCGGCCATGAGCATCAAAGTGCTTCGTGTAAGTCATTACGGCTGTGGAAATGATCTGGTTAATATCATAATATATAACTCCAAATTTTCCAAACTGCTCGACTTTGCCAGAAATGTCATCGAACTGATAGAGATCAATGGGCAGTGGAGTTTCATTGATGACGCCCTGCATGCTGGTCACTCGAAAGCTGTTGTCATAGCTGTAGTCAAATCTCGCATTTACCATCCCATCTTCGCTAAAGCGGAAAATCTGTCTGTCAATCAAGGGGCCAATTTGCCTGTATCTAATGGTGCAAATAAAACCATCACTCTGGAGGTTTACTGTTTTTAGGACGCCCGCTGTTTCATCATAGGTAAAACTGACTCTTGTGCTGTCATATAAAATTTCTGAGAGCCTGGTCTGCCTTCTGTACTTGAATAAGACCCTCCGACTTGTACCTAAGAAGGCCGTTTGCAGAAGCAGCCCTTCCTCATTGTAGTCTGTGATGACAGAGGCATTGCTTTCTGGGGGGTTGTATATGTTTCGGTAGTAGCCAATGGATCGGATGGTCTGCATGGTGTGGCGAGCCACGCTGGGCATGGTGATGGCGGACAGCCGGTCCCACATATCGTATTCAAAGATGTATTGCCGCTGGCTATGAAGCAGAAGAACCATGGACTGCAAAGAGAAAACATATTGTTCTCCAATATTTGTGAACGGGGGAAGCAAAGGCAGATCTGGTGACCACAAATACACAGAAACATTTCGCTTGGGAAAATGATGTTCATTTTAATTGAGTTATCCTTGACCTTACATGTTGTTAACGATTCCCTGCCTAATTTGCTTGGATGCTTAATTGTGAGGGGTTCTGCAATTAGTGGCTCAAGATTCATAATGTGCTCCTTGTCAGGACTGTACCGTTCTCTTTGCAGGCATTCACAGCCAAGTAGCAGCTTGTCAATGGATTCGCATCAGTCATAATACAAGAATGGGCAAAGCTGCTTTAAAGACAATATTTCATGGAGAAAACAGCATATGGGAAATTCAATCCCATCCATAATTAGCAATGTTTAGTAAGGTGGCTTTTCCCCCTCATTTGACTGAAGAGCCACTCAACTCATGTTTTAATTTCCAGTGTATTTAAGGGAGGAGCAAAGCATTCAAAAATATTATTTTATGAAGAAGAGGCATAAAATTAGCCAAAAATGGATAATGTGTACATCCAGCATCAACATCAACAAACACTGCCGAGTTAACCACTCGGTGAGTGAGAGCTGTAAATGCCCTGCATAGCAATATGGACCCAGGTATGCTTTTCTTTTCTTTTCTTTTTTTTTTTTTTTTGCAAATTCTTACATGGCATCAGAAATAACAATAAAATCTATATTTTGAAATTTCCTTTGGTTAAATCTGATTTGTACCTCAGGTGCTGTAAGAATGGTTTCTGGGCTACCTACCGCATTGGTGCTAAATTATGAAGTGAATAAATATATAAGTAAAAATAAGCTCTGCTTATTTTGCAGGTAATTGCAGACAGACAAAGACATTAATTTATCAGGGCGACCCAAGAGAGGATCAACCCTGAGGCTGGTTAAGTAAAGCTAATAGTAATACAGAGCACGGGCAGATTTTCTGAGGAAGCTTCCTCTAAAGCCTGTTAGACCAAATGGGATGATGGCAGAACTGGGAGGATGGTCAGGTTAGGAGCCTTCCAAAGACGACTTCTTTGCTTTTGACATAGAAATACGTAATGCCTTGTCCAAGGCTCATCCTTTGTCTCCCTGTTGTCCACCATCTTCAAAAGCAGTTTGCATGACTAAGGCTTCTGTAGAATCTCCTCTGAGGGCATATCTAGGGGCAATTTGTATGCAGGCTGTGTAGTAAATTTCTTGACAGCTGTTCCGAATAGTTTGCGTTCTTCTAAGGAAGGCTTGGACTACTGCTGAATTCAGAGGAAGTAGGACCTAGTCTCGCAATTATTTAAAATCATATCTGAAGGTAATTAGTAAAATATTTCTTGTTTTCCTATGAATGCGTTTTGGCTTAGTGAGCCTCTCCTGGCAAGGACATGGAAATAGTGTGGGTGGCTTCTAGGGATCTGCGAGAGATGCTGAGAAAGTACTTGTTGGCTTTTCCGATCCCCACTGATACGTGAAAGTGATCTCAGTTCCTGCTGGTGTCATTTCGTGACGGTGGCTCCTATCAATGACATGTTCTCTGGCTCCCTTTAAACATCTTTCAGTCACATTATGATCACCGCTATCAGTTTTGGGGGTCTGGGTATTTATATTTTTGTTCCTCTTCTCTGTGATGTACCTAATTTAAATTGGGAAGAGTGTTCCAGAATGAAGCAGTGATCCACTCCCAGTTTCTTCAGGGAGAACTTGTCTTGGGGCTTGTTAGGTTGGAGGGTGAAATATTTTGCAGGTGTCAGGATTTGTTCCCAGGAAGGTGTGTAGGGGGCTTCTGGTCTCTCAACAAACAACCACTTAGATGACTAACTGTACAGTGGGATGGTTAGTGTAGAGGGAAACTGTCATCAACAGGCATAGTCCGTAGTCTCAGGGGTGAGTCTCTTCTAAGGAGAGCAGATAAGTGGGTTTGCGAGAGGAGAGACTGACAAGTGGGGTCCTAGCTGGAAGCGTTCCAGAGTTGGAAGGCTGCCTTAAGATAGGTGGCATCCTACCGTAAACTTCGAACCTGAAACTGGTTCTCAGAAAGCATGGTCCATGTATAGGCCAACTAGAATTAGACGGGATGACTCAGGTGCACAGGGTTAGGTTGAGACTGAGGAGCTGTGTAGAGCACCTCTGATGAAGAACAAGACTGTGTGAGGCGAGCATGAGAGTGATGGGGACGTGAGTTCTTGAATGACAGAAGTCATCCTGTGTAACGTGACTAAGGGTAGAGGCAGGAACTGTTAAGCGGTGAGTTTATACGTCAGGCTGCTGTGTGACTGGTGGTGGATGCCCTGAGGTTTGAGAGGTATCAGAACTCAAAACCGAATCATTTTCTAGCGCTAACGTTTCTCTCAAAGGCAAATGAAGCATTCCATGAATATGCTCTTTGGTGGGTTATATTTCTTAAGAAAAGAATTATAGGGGACAGTCCTTTTCCTTTGCTTTCACTTTGAAACCTCTTGGCCCCAGTCACTACTCCAAACCTCTCATCGTAGAAATTAGCAGTTTGCACATGTGTAACTTTTGAGTCTCGTCGTACTGTGCACAGTTCTTCAGAAAGGGGAAAACCTAAGCCAGGATGCTTACCTTTAATATGCAGAAGAAAGGGGAGATGCCACAGAGTACCTGAAATGTGGCTTTCTAAAAAAATAGCCTTTTTTTGGTTGATAATGCATAAATAGGATCTATATGCTTTTTATGGTTATGTTGAAGCTCTGCCAGCAACAACACAAAACTGACAGCTTTCACTGTGCAAACGGAAGGCTCTTTCTTAAATGAAAGAGCTAGAACGGAGATTATTTACAAATGACGTACATGCTCCAGGTCTAATTTGTGAATGTTGTCGATGTGTAAGCTTGGCAGGTAGACAGTGTTATTGCTTGTTTGTTTGCCACATAAATCACTTAAAAGGGGCTCAGACAGTAGAACTTAACTAAGGAGAAACTACTTTGTTAATGCAGAAATTCATCACTGCTGTACCAATGTGACTGACATATTGATACTTAGAATAAGAGTTGGATCTCAGTCACGTGCCACCATGTTTTCCCCTGTAGTGCTCTGGGTAACTGCTGAAAAATAGCACTCATTGCTTCCCTGTTTTTCCCCTCTGTGTGCAGGCATACCTTTTCCAAGTATGTGTAGCTCCATGTTTTACCATCAGCAAAGACCCGAGAGACGATCCGCCCCTGGCTGTCATAATCAACTTTCTCGCTTGTAGTTCCTCGCTGGATGCTGGCAATTTGACCTGTGGATGAGTACGTGACATTGACGGCCATCAGCTTGCTGCTTGGCAGCCAGAGAGTTGGGTGCCCTGACATGTCGTAGGCGATCCTCAGTAGAAATTTACGGTGGTCATCATAGATCTTTTCTGTCTTTGTGGTTCGATCAAAGTCAACGGAAAGGAGGTTTCTGCCATTAACCTGTTACAACACAAACAAGATGATAAAATAAATCATGTGAATCCAGGACCAGTCCCTTATTACTCTTCAGCGTCCCCACTATTGTTTAAACACCATTTAGGATGATTGATTCTCTTTGTCAGTAAATTAATTTAGCAACTTCTTGGGTACAAGTGCAAGGCAGTAGATTAACTGCTCTTTTAAAAGGTTTCATTAAGCAGAAAGACAGCCTGGCATTTGTTCAAAAGCTTTTCAATTAAATTTTGTAAACTTAAGCAACTGATAAGAAAAATACCAAAACGTATTTGCTTTAAAGTTTGTTCAGAAGATATGGAGGTGGTAAACATGACATCTCTGTAAATTACTCAAAGCTCCTCCCCCCATAAGACATTGGAAAATAATTGCTTTGTGGATTAATCATGGCTACATTAAATAAAACAGTGGTAAGTGTGACTCTAGCCCTTTGAAGAGCAGTTAAGTAGGAGCTGGAACCCACATTACTGTAAATTATTAATGAGTTTAAATAGCAGGAGGTTACAAACACGATCATTGCTTTTGGCCAAGTGCTGAAATGTCACACTTTTTTAGAATGCCTTTTTCTTTGATAACATCTGGTTAACTGGCAGGAACTTCAGATCCTCTACTCCGGCATCTACATGGTCTGACCACTGTGCTTAATTTACAAATCTAGCACCATGTTGTTTGTCATCGGGCCTCTGTGTGGCTCTGTGCCATGTCCTGAATCTGGGACTACATTTGGCTGTTATTGTCTGTGATCCAAGGCGTACACAAACCAGCCTTCATTACTGCAATGGAAATGTGGCCTTGGTTAAATTCTACTTTACAAACGGTCTACAGTGTTTGCAGACTGGGACCGCCCAACAGTGAGCCCAGGGCCATTCGATTCTTTGGTCTCCCACAGCACCTTTGTGGCAGTGGCGGCTTGTACATATCAAAATGCTCCTGAACTATCTGGATTGTTAAAAATTAAATGGGAAACTCTTAATTTTACATGATCATGTCTGAGCTCTAAAGAACCTTCAAAATGGACAGCTCCAGCTGATGAATTATACACACACACACCATACACACACCTATGTATGTGTAAATAAATGTGTATGTACATATATAATATACATGTATATTTATGGAAAATCTAGGATAAAACTAGTGTGTGCATTGTATCATTGACATCAAACAAGTCCCGGGAACAAATACTCCTTAAGCTTCAACTTTTCCAATTAGCTGTTCAAGGGGAGTATTGTGAAGTCCATGGAAAGGGAAAGATAGACGCTAAGAAGAAGTTCAAGCCTTACAGGCAAAGTGATTTGCAGGGAAAAAGCACCCACAGAGATGATGCATAGAAAATGAGAAGGCACAGACCTGGATGGAAGTTAGGAGATCTTAATTTTTCAGTTCTGTCATTTCAGATCCAGCTGATGTAGGGGAAGAAAAACCCCACTGTACCATAGCAGGTATTGGTATGTATTGATGTGTGTGTGTGTGTATGCATGTATGCTCATGCATGCTGGGAGGAGGAACGCAGGAATCAAGATGCTGCTCTCATAGCCGGGAGGACCTAGAGGCAGCCCGACTTTGGGCTTTCTCTGAATCTGTTTTGTCCACGTGTAAATAAAGAGGTTGGCTAGAGCCCCTAGCTGTGTCTTTCAGTAATGGGACATGATTCTGACCAGCCAGCTGAAGGGTCTCTGGGCGTCTGTTTTCCTGTGTGGCAATGTCTGCGTATTAGCTGCTCCCTGCCTTATGTGAATTTTGTGTAACTTTATGAGTTTAGGTTTGCAGAATGCTTTGCGTACCTTGGAACAAAGCTCCTAGCTAACGTTACAAATATATATTTGAAAGTCTGTAGAAAGATTTCATCTGATATCAAATTGACTCAGTCCTGAGGTGGCAGAATCCAGCTCTTCAGCCTGTATTTGCACAAAATCTTTGACGCCTTGAGAAGAGGTTTTGCACAGTTTCAGTGGTTTCTTAGGGCTCTTGTGTTTCTTAGATTGTGATTTAAAAGAAAAAAAAAAAAAACCTGACTGTTTAGGTTTGCCCTCTTTTTTCCTTCCTTAAGTTATTCCAAGCTGCGAATAGCCATGCAAGACCGACTGTGTGGTTTCCATGGACTATGAACCCACAGCATTGCCTGATCTGTTTGCATTCATCACCATTTGTATCTCACTTCCTTACTGCCTCCTTAACCCCCCTTATCTTGGCAATATTTCCTCTGGTTAGAGCATAAGAAATCAGGGCTGCAGGTCTGGTATGATTGTTTGGTTCCTGAATGGCAAAGAGACAGGCCCGGAACCCCTGCCTGCACCCTGTACTGGGCTTCTGACTTGTTCCTTGGTTTGTGAGTATGGCTACACAACACCAAAGCATCCAGGTGAAAATCAAAGGGTGTCATTACTGTTGCCACTGTGTCAGCTGCCATACCAAACATGTCACCATATGGAAACATCTACAAGCACTGTGAGACCAAACATCTGGATAGGAGTGTACATTTTTCTTTTTATCCAGACCAATATTGTATGCAATGCTTTTCTTATGTCCTCAAACTGAAGTAATGAGGAAAGAATTAGATTGTGGCTGTGGTTTCCCCCACATTCTTAACATAAGCCAAGGTTTTAACCATTCTTTCAGTTTCCAGACACCAGCCACTGTTATTCAATATGTAAAATTCCAAAAAATACTGACAGATCTTTTGTTTTTTCTATCCCTCCTCAACATGCCCAGACTTTCTCCTTTGGGTGTCATGAACAAAGCGCAGAAGTCCAGGGACATTTCCATTCTAGTCTCACTTAACTATACCTCTATGAAATCATGGCAACTTTGCAACCTTTTTTTTTTTTTTTTTTGACAATCATAAAGCCCCAGCATTGTTCCATGCCCCAGTGTCCTTTTAATAAATATTTTTAATGTAAAAAATATCAAGTTAAGTTGAATAGTTCATCTAAGATGAAAAACCTTCTATCGGATCATGACTATACCTCCAGCCATAGAAAAATGACTCCAAATGTTGTGTCTGGATAAGAGATCACCATGAATTCCTTTGTGATATACAGCATTTCTTTTAAGTAAGCATGGAAAATCCCCATTTTCAAAGATCATGCCCAGCATGACTGTCATTAATCACAACAACCCTTTGATATCGGGAGGGGGGTAGTTATTTTTGTTCAGGAATACTTGAAAAACTAAGACATAAAGCACAGTAGGATTATATTCACGTATCTGGAATGTTACAGAGGGACGGGAGGAAGGGCTGGCTCATCACCCAGTACACTTGGTGACAGTATCACGACTCCCTCGTGTCCCTGTTAGAACATCAACAGGCTGCAAAGTGTTTTGTGTCTCTCCACACGGCAGCAAGTGCTGACTGCACTGTACAACCCCATCCAGGCTGTGCCACTCAGATTAAAGTGAGAACAGGACATCACACAAACGTGCCTGGCATGATAAGACTTAAATGTGCCATCACATTTATGTATGCCTTTCAACACGCTCTTGGCTTTCAAATTTTGAGAAATTCGTTTTAAAATAATTCACTACATTTTTTTCCTTTAAGCATCTGAATTCTGGGCAAGTTCAGAAGATGAATTTTATTAGCAGAATGCCATTGTAATTTTTTGTAACTGATTTAAGGCTGGTTCCAAAGTCCAACATTGTGAAAATTTAGGAATATTTACGAAATATTATAAGAGAAGGACAAGCAACTATTATGCATACACCTTTAAAAAAATTGTAGCTAGAAACACACGAGCTAGGGAATCGTCTCATCTTTCCTCTGCTCCACTTTCCCTCATCTCTATCACCATCTCATTTGCTTGTTATTCCTACTGTACTCGCCCCTTTTCTCAAGCATTGTTTCACAGAAAATGCTTTTCATGTTGCTAGTTTCTTCTATAAATTTTCCTTTTCTACTCCTTGCTTTTAAAAAAAATTTGAAACTACTATATCTAGTGTTCTATCTATTATATCTATGTAACTGTTCTATCTGGGGTTAGGTTTGTTTCTAACAGTCAAAGATTTGCAAGGATGTGCTATTCATATAGCTTCTCTCTTAGGAAGATCTACATGCAATGAAATAATCCGTATTATAAGGTTTTGTCCTTCTTTCATTCATTGAATAAATATTTGAGTGTCTGGCACATAGCTCAATTTAGGTCAATAACTTAAGAATGAAAAGAACTTTCTGCTAGGAAATAATGAAAGCTAAGAGAGGAGGTGCTCGTGTCTCAGAAAAGAGAGGGACGGAAACCGGTGGCTTTCCGGGCTGATTCGGATTGCTGCTGTGGCCTCGGGTCTCCCTCCCTTCTTGCTCTTCTCTTTTCTATTTTGGCAGACTCCAGGTCCAGTCCTTAAACCGGATTTTCATATCATCACTTTCTCCCTAGAATTTCTCTCTTAGAATCCACAGAGGAATGAAATTAGCAGCACTGGCACATCCAATCTTATCTTGAAAGTAAGAAACCCTCCCTTGCGATCTCGGCATTGTCTCTCGGAGAGCAATCACACCTATCAGCTGGAAATCTCCTTTCATTGTGACCGAACAGGCCATTTGAAATAGTATATTTTCTGAAATGTCTTGCTGAGGCATTGTGCTTCTGCTATTTAGAAAGAAACTAACACCCATAGGTATTAGTGCACTAGTCTCCTCCTCCCCAAAGGGAGGTATTTTCTTCATTTAGAATCAGGAAGAGGACCAAAGACTTCAGATTGGATTTCCCCTCTTTTCCTCCTAATTTCTTTTGATGTCTAGAAAAGCAGTGTGACAAAGAAAAAAGGATTCACTTAGACAGCTTGTCTCAAAGAAGAGCAGGCAACATGTTATGTGGTCAGTTTCTGGGCAAAGTGTTTCCCATCCTCTTCCCTCTTTTGTGCTGACATTCTCCTACCCAGGGTGCTAAATAGCTCTTTCCTAGCCACCTGTTGTGTGGGTATAAACGCCCAACGTTTGCGTTTGTGGTTGAGATTCTCTGGGTTAGGGTTAGGAAATATATAATCATGCCTTTTATTTTCAAAGTACTTTCACAGTCTCATTTGATTCTGTAACAATTGTGTGAAACAGAAGCAGGGTAGGGTAAATTTCATTTATCCGTATTATAGCTATATATATATATATTTATATATACACATATATATATAATGTCTATGTTATAATGGCATAATTTATTTTCTAGATGATATATTATTTATATTATAATATGGATATCATGATATAGATAAGGAAAATGAGGTTTAGAGGTATTATGATTTTCCCATAAGGTTTATTATTAGTAAAAAGTGGAGCCTGATCTAGAACCTATATGTGTGTGTGTCTATATATATATATATATATATATATATATATTTTTTTTTTTTTTATTGGTGACAAAGATTGGCCCTGAGCTAACATCTGTGCCAATCTTCCTCTATTTTGTATGTGCGATGCTGCCACAGCATGGCTTGATGAGCAGTGTAGGTCTGCACCAGGGATCCGAACCCATGAACTGTGGGCCACCAAAGTGGAGCGTGCAAACTTAACCACTATGCCACTGGGCTGGCCCCTAGAACCAATACTTTTTGACTTCTAGTTCAGTACTGTGTCTTCTTTGGTGTGCAGAATGAGGAGCACAAACATGAGCAGGATCTTTGTGTGTTTTGATGAAGTAGGCCCTGTGTCTGAGAACTGGTGTGGCTCTGTGTGTGCGTGTGTACCTGTGAATATGTATACCGTGCCTGCTGTAGGAACAGTTGTGTAAGATAAAGCCTGTGAACTAGCTTCCAGTTTGCAGTGGTCCAAGGCAGCAGGGGCCCTGGGAAGAAGTATGCAGTGACAGCAGCAGATGGGGATGCAGGCAGCTACTGACTCCTCAGTTCAGTCGAAAAAAAGGCAGGAGCTGGAAATGACGCTGGCAACAGACAGAGACCCTATGAGAGTGACCTGAAACAAGTTTGAAACTTGTTTTCCTGCCCGTCACTTCAACCCTGATCTTGTTCTTCCTTCTAGTGTTCTATTGATTTTTCTTCTCACTCCTCTCAATGATGTGACACCCCTCCAGCCTGCCCTAGTTCCTGCTGGCCGGAACTCCTGATCCAGGGGCTCTGGAGCAGGGGCATCCAGGCTCCCACAGCCTGGGGTATGCGTGAGGTGGGAGCATGAAGCACTGGTTCCAGCAGACCATGAATTTAGAGTCCCAAGCACCTGTCTTGTAATTGAAGTGGAATCAGAATATAACCCGTAAGTTGAATACCGTCTGTGTTGTACTGATTCTTTTTTCTTCATTTCTATTTCCTGGAATAGCCAGGGACAATATGTAGTGACTGTTTCTTACCCTGAAGGATTGTCCCAGATAAAGAATGTTGGCTTGTTATAATAATAATTTAACCATTTTTGGTGCAGAAAAAAGGACATTAATGGTATGCTCCATGTTTTGTTCTCTCTCCATGAATTTAAGTAATTTTTTTTGGTCCTTCCATTCTTTTTTCTTTTCTTTTTTTGGTGAGGAAGATTAGCCCTGAGCTAACGTCTGTGCCAGTCTCCCTCTATTTTGTATGTCGGATGATGCCACAACATGGCTTGATGGGTGGTGTGTAGGTCTGTACCTGAGATCTGAACCCATGAATCCCAGGCCACCAAAGTGGAGTGTGTGAACTTAACCACTATGCCACCAGGCTGGCCCCTTAAGTAATTTTTTTTTAAATGGCAAGGGATGTAATGTTAGGAATAGTTATCTACATTTATCGGATAAACTAAAATCTGTTTACTAATAGAAAGAATGAATCAGGTTCAGTTTATAGTGGTCTGAAGGTGGTCTCTTGTAATCTGTGACTTAGTACTTAGTCCATGTTGTCTTTGCTGAAGAGCTATCATAAATCACGTCTTACTTTCCACATATATTTGGCCCACAATGTGAACGGGAGAAAGAAAAACACCAACAAGGTAATGCAGAGAACATTTTGCAAAGATCAGTTACACTAGCCTAATCAGAAATATCATCACATTCCGCATAAAAATAATGTGAGTCAATAGTGAGGAGGCAATAATTAGGTTCTGACACTGATATTTTTCTGTGTCCCAACTGTACTTTAAAAATATTGAGAATGCAAAGAAAGAATCCACCTCTCCATAGCCAGCCCATCTCTTTCCATATAGATATTTATGATTTGGAAAACTGTCAGTATTTAAGCCAATTCTTACTTATCCCCATGCCCGTATTAGGAAGCCATCACTCCTAACTGAGTGGGTAAAAGAAAAGTATAAGATTATTAAGATAATACTAGTCAAACAAGAATCAGTTGATGCCCAGGTGATCTGGAATTGTGCTATCGGCAATTTCCTAATTTCCCTGGGAAGAATTTATTTTTAATCATAGAAATATTGAGAAAACCTTTTCTCAAATAGTTGGCTTTTATTACAAATCATCCACTGGCTTGACGGTTGGCTATAACGCATGCTCTTGGGTAAGACGCTTCACCGCGTGTGGCCCTGGACACATGAGGGTGGAGAGAGACCCGCCCTCACAGACAGGTCTTCTCCATGATACAGAGAACTGGGCCGCCATCACCCACTCTCTGACACTTACTTACCCTAAGCTTTCGACCAAAGACATTGACTTTTCCTTGGGCTTGCTCTTTTCGGAATCTCCATTCCACCAAATTTTGACCGTTTTCACCAGGAAGAGTCATGTTTCTTTTGGCCACCGTTGGATTGGCTGTGCCAGCCAGGACGTGTGGCTCTGTCTGGTAGTGAGAATCCAGACCGCTGGCGTAGATAATTCTAAGAGAGCCGTCGTAACCAATCTGGTAGCTGTTTCTTAACTGATCTAAAAAACAAGAAGCAGAAAACACGAACTCTTGATATGGATTAAATACTCGGTCGGCTGTGCCGTTAGAAGTGATATAAATTTCTAAAACGACTCAATTCCATTTATAAGGAAATAAAAAGTATTCAATGAAGTCTTTGTAGAAAATAAGAAAACAACTTTGATTTCCGGCATTTCATGCTGTAACATGTTTGGCTGAATATTAAAGGCAAACTTTAGGGGACTTTAAAGTCCTTCTCCACTTACAGTAGATTTCTTTTTCTCATTTGCCTGATGAAATAAATGAGGGCTCAGTCAGCTTCCATGGAATGTGCCATAAATGTTTTGCAAAGAGCCAAGTATGTGCTCTTTTAGGAGGCTGATGTGTTACCTCCAAGGTCTTAGAAGACTGCCTCCCATATATGCATTCTTATATCCTTTATCAAAGATCTTTCGGAAAGATTTAATACCTATACTTGTATACAGAAAATATAAGGTGATATTCCCCCTGAAATTGACTTTAAAAAAAGGCAGTCATCTTATATTTTGTACAAAAAAACCCTCTCATATTGTGTAGGCTACTGCCTCAATTTAAAATTGTTGATTAATACAGGACCATTTGGGGAAGAAATGAATTCACACAATACTAATTTTAGATGATTATAGAGATCACCTGACAGAACTGGTAAAAAAAAAATGAGTCAAAGAAGTTTAACTCAGATTTAGTAATTATTCTTAGAGCTACAACCTCACCATTGCAATTGTCATTGTAAATAGGCTTTTTCAAGATTACATCAAGAAGGAATATGGCAGGCAGTTCCATTATGGAGATATTGGAAATATATGCCTATAGACTGAATGAAAAAAACAAAAGTCCAGATAGTACATAAATGAGTACTTGGTATTTGGTATAAAATTTCCAGTGACCACATCAAATGCAGATTCAAATACTGCATCACGCATGGATTTAGAAAATGCTCTGCCTCAAATTACTGTTCTTCCAGGGCCGTGAGGATGACATGCTCTGGAGAACGGTGGATGACTCAGAAAGGGTCTGATCATGCACGCGAAGAGTTGGAATTAAGTCGCTTCATTAAACAGGAGTGAAAAAAGATACTATTTCTAGGTTAACATATTGTTTTATATATTCTGTGATTTTAAATATGTATACATTACTAAATAAACATTACATGTAGACATTAGACTATTTCATCAATATCTCCAGAGGTTTCTATTTTCCCCTTCCCTTTTCTGGTTCATCTTAGAAAACGGAGGTTGCCACATTCTATTTTGGGTGCTAGTGGTACTTTAAAATGATCGGTTGGAAACTACGCTTTTGTGTTTACCTTGAACCATGGTGTAGAAAGAGTCGATTGAGGACAAATTTGAAGTGATGCTGACATCTTCGTCTCGGCTGGAAGACTCAATGTCCACTGTGATAGCCTTGTCCATGTCTCCATGAAGGTTTGTGACCACGCCGGTTGGAAATGTAACATTTGTCAGGCGACCTTCACTGTCATAACTAAATAAAAGAGGCATTAATTTGGTGTTAACTAGAACCTGCCGGTCCTTCTTCCCTATAAATATGATAGGCAGCAATATTAGCTGCACAGATCTGGAAGAATATTTGTCTTTGCGCAAGAGCTATGCAGAGTGAGGACTTCAAACATGCTTTGAAGTAATCAAAAGCCTGTTTAATATAGAAAAACCTCACCGGTGAGAGCCAGAGTAAACAGACCAGCTCTCCATCGCAGCACATTATTCTTTGAAGTGTGACCAAAATGCTCCCGCACAGCTAATTTGCTGTTTCAAAGGGAACATGTTTGCTGATATTAAATTCCTTAGTATTCCGCCATATTTTCTACAAAGTAGATTTAATTCGCTGTTACATCAGTTTTTAAAGTTTTACCAACTTACGTCCTCTAGGGCAGTGCGATGTGAATATATATATATATATATATATATATATATATACAACTTTGTCAAAACAGTATGTATACATACATGTATGTATTTGCATGTGTTAAAACATTCTTTTAGTGCCTTGAGACATCTTCAACAAATTAATAAAATAAAGCCTTTTAACGGCTTCCTTATTTCTCAGTGATTGACATAATTTGTAATGGTAAATTGGGACTTAAATGTTGGCGGGGGTGGTGATAATCTTTCTTGTCTATACTGACGTTGTAGGAATGGGTGATATCTTGAATGATGATTTATTATGTTTGCTGAAGTGAGATGTAATATTTCCTGACATTTAATAATTATTTACTTTTTTATTATATACTTACTCTTTTTTAGCATATACATATAAAGGGAACTTATAATTTAAATGTTAACATTTTTTTTTTAAAGATTGGCACCTGCGCTAACATCTGTTACCCATCTTTTTTTTTTTTCCTTCTTCTCCCCAAAGCTCCCTGGTACATAGTTGTGTAATCTAGTTGTGAGTGCCTCTGGTTGTGCTATATGGGATGCTGCCTCAACATGACCTGATGAGTGGTGCCATGTCTGTGCCCAGGATCTGAACCGGCGACACCCTGGGCCACTGAAGCAGAGCACGCAAACTTAACCACTCAGCCACGGGGGCTGGCCCCTAGGATATATTTTTAAAAGCTGTCCTATAATCATAAATATACATTATAGATACAACATTTTACTAAAGAATTGACTTTTTTGTGACTTTTCTATTTGTGGTAGCACCAGAGAAAATTTCAAAACTGACAATGTGGCTTGAAGAAAGAAAAAAAAAGAAGCAAGTTCTGGATGAAAAACTAGGGACTTCGTTGGGCCAAAAATATAGTTAAGATTGGATTTCAGATTGATAAGTTGCTTCATTAATAAAAGGTCCAAGCAAAATGGAGACTTGAACTGTGTCCTACTTAAAATGAGCCCAGATGCAGAATGAGCAGAGAAAGAATCTTAGGAGTGACAGACAGAAGTTACCAGGGGAGGAAAACTGTGGGGGAGGATCATATTAATGGGTGTAAATATGGGACAAGGAAAAAAAGAGTAGAAAAAAGTACTTAAATGATATTTTGGAATAAAAAGGTAGAGGGTTTTTGGAGAGTAAAAATTAGCTTTGAAAAATGTGGTAATTAGAAGATTCCAGATAATAAAGGTAGAGAAGATTTAGCCAGGGCAATGTCAAGGTGGAGATAGGCAGGAAGAAAGGAGGAAGGAGAGACAGGGGAAGTCTGTTTAGAGCCCAGGGATGAGCTGATCCCATTGATTCAGTGGAGACAATATCAGTCAGATCATGGGTTTGACCGACTTGATCTGACAGTCTGCTGTGCTGCTCGGCCAGCCGCAGGAATTAGCACTCAGGAGGGAGAAGTGAGCAATGGAGAAATGAAGAGAAAGAAAATGCACCATTAAGTGTAATCATTGTTGGGACCTACAAAAGGCAGAGCTGGAATAAAAAAGCTGACTCCTTCGCCTGCCCGCTGACCCAAATGCCCCTAGCAGATTAAGGCATCAGTGAAAGAAACGCAACACGGTTTATTGCTGTCATTGCTTTTTCGAAGCAATTATTGCTCTTGAAGAAACAAATACGCACAGGTTTACTTATACTGCAGAGAAGTTACAGAATTATCCACAAAACCCAGCTAAAGTTCAATCTTAACCCGGACATCATTCTTGCCTCACTGTACGTCTCTCACAGTATGATGGGAAGAATGTGTAAATGTGTTTTTAAGAAATTAACATCCTTCTGAATGCTCCTGTATAAAAGATAATTCAGTACTGCCTTGTCTGCCCTCCTCTCTTAGAGATGGAAAAATGAGAATATGATGTGGTTTGGTGACTTGATTGGGCTCTTTTGCATCTTATGACTGGACCACAACTGGGACTTTCATGTGCCAGACCCCAGGTCCACCAGCCTTCTGTAAATCACAGTGCCTGATGTAAAGTGGAGCGCTGCCGCTTAATGCAGACAATGCCACCTGCCAGCACTTTGCTGATTCACTCTTGCAGCTGTCACTCGCCTGCCCTTTTGCGACCCTTTTGCTGGTTTACGTTTCCTGGCTCCATTCAATCTAAAGCGGGAACGTCACCTTTCTCCAGCAGCAAGCCTTTCTCCCACCTTTGCCTCTGCTCTTTCATTGGCTTACCAAACATTCCCCGTCCTGCTGGGCAGGCATTTCGTATCACAGGATGCTGAGCGCACTGTTATAGAGCACGGGATGCTGCGCATTCAGACGCTAACCTATTAGCCTTTGGTTCCTTGGGGAATAAACATACAAGTAACCTTTGTAGGTAGTGCAGCTAGAATGACCTAGGGTTAAGCTGGGATCTTAGTGGCCCCACTTCACAGGTTAGCCCTGCAAGTTCTGAATTTGTGCCTTGAGAGGAGTGGCTGAATCCGAGTGAAGGCACGGAGAAGGCTGAGGTGTTTGCATGAGGTGGGCCAGGAAGGCTGCTGTGATCGAAGGCTCCCAGAGCTGCTACCTAACCAGTCACCTAACAGTTTCTGAAAAAGCTTATGTGCAAGTCACAATGTGAGGCTCCTGTGGATACACAAGGATAAGAAGTCTGGCTGGGGAAAGAAGTCATACACACGAAAACTTCCTGTTGCAAAGGAGTGCCACGTGAATGGTACAGATTCCCAGAGCACTCAAGTGCAGAGAGAGGAGGTATTGTTATGCTGGAGCAGTGAGGGAAGGGCTGCATCAAGGTGGGGACCTAAGTCAGACTGGGAAATAGATGCAGGATTTAGACAGGCTGATAAGGCATGAGATGGCAGTGCAGTCAGGAAAACAGCAAGGGTAAGGGCGTGGAGGAGTGGAGACGAAGGGCTGTGGGGAGGTCGGGGCAAATGTGCACAAGAGGAGGGTCCATGAAGGGCCCATCAGACAGCAGAGGGAGGCCCTGGGCAGTGTCCTCACTGGGGACTGTCCGGGAGCTGAAGAAGGCTATAACGGAAAGCTGATGTCATGGCAGCACTGATGGAGCCCAGAGGCAGGGTGACAGGGACGCGCGGAGGACTTCCTGGACTTCCCAATTTTACAAATCAGGACCAAAAAAATCAAGGACCAACAGAGGGTTTTTAAATAAAAAGCTATCCCCCGTGACCTCCATCATTTCATAAAGAAAGGCCATTTAAACCGACCAAAGGTAGGAAGGACCGAACCTCAGGGCGAGTGCCCACTCTTTAAAAGGAATAAGTGAAGCTTTATGAAAAAATTCTCCACATCATCGTTATTTACTTTTTTCATTTCGCTGTGGATCCATGAAAACTTCTTCATGGATTAGCATCTATGCCAAAAGAAATGAAAACAAGATGGATGACAGACATTAAAATTACCGGGGGGACTCTGGAGAAGGGAGTGAGAGAAAATGAGTAGTCCAAGATGACTTTTCAGGGACTTCAGAAATGGCAGGCGGACTCTTCTTCACCTCGGCAAAAGCAGAAAAGCAACGCTCCAGCAAATGGCCAACTGTCCCCTGAAGTCCTCTGACGCTGGTTCCTCAGAGAGGCCTTCCCATAGATGCCTCTGGTCATATTCTCTGCTTGTGTGCAACTTTGTGGCTCTACTTAATGTTGCTTGGCCTCGCTGGCGAACTAGCCCTGGCCACCGTGTATATCTGAGACATAGTTTTCTGTTATTAGCTTTTTGAATTTACAATGCAATATAGGCTCCAGGGAATTTGACTAGGACATCAACTTCACGCTCTCCATTCCACTCATCTGGTCTTAGCCTCACAGCTTCAAATTCATAACACAGCACATTCTTTTTGCTCCCGGTTGACCCCTCTTCACAAAAGACTCACTGGAAAAGACAAGCTCCCTCAGGCTCTTAATGACCTTCTGCTCTTTCACTGATGCGAAGCCCTTACTTGATGTTTATCTATTTGTTCATCTTTAATTTTGATTGCGTTTTTGCCTAGACTTGCTGTTTTGGCCTCCGTGGTATATGTTTAAATCTCTTTCTAAGTTTCCTAAGCAGTGGGCTTATCAAGAAATGCCCCAGAGAGTCAGAGCGTCTGCCATTCTCAGTTGAAAATGCTGTATTCATCCTGAGCTGAAATTTTCTCTCTCTCCCCCTTATAGACGTGAAGTTCTCAACTCTTCATTTTCCCTCCATTATGTGTCTCAGATATTTATCTGCCCATTCCCGTGGTTGTCTTCGATTTTAAAACTGGTCTTTTGTCTTTCCCCGTACTCACTGACACCAAATTAATCTCCTGAAACACCACGATTATAATACTTTTCTGCTTAAACATCTATAGTGGCTCCTCAACTGAGAGAAAAATTGACCGACTTAGACAGTTACCCACACATGTCAATAGACTATTGATATTGCAAATTTATTCGTGTGGAAACAATTTGCAGTTCGCAAAAACTTTCTTTAAAACTCAACAGCAGGATTATCTACTGTCTTCAATACTTCCCCATGAAATGGCTTCCTTAATCAAATGTTATGTTTTTAAAATTACCTTCTGCTTTTAGGAAAAATCTGTGTAAATCAGAGCAGGGCGTTAGAGAAGCCAGTAAACCAAAGACACGCAGTTATAACTCTG